GGTCTTGTTTAAGTGCATATACAAATGCTTGCATCTGGTTAGTAGTACACGCATGTACGCATACACATGCGATGGTTTTATTGTAAGTGCATATACATATGCTTGCATCTGGTTAGTAGTACACGTATGCATGCATACACATGCGGTAGTTTAATCTTTCCCTTTTTTCTAAGCATATACACATACACGCATGCACACACGATTGTCATTGTCATGTGTTTCTGTATATGTATATATATACACGTATGCCTGCATCTAGTCAATACTGTACGCAGCCATACGCTTGCGGTAGTCGTATTTGGTTGTTTGTGTTTGCAGTTGCATGCATCATCATAGCCATTACACTAATGAAGCACACGCATATGCACAGTCACGCGCAGTGGATGGGGTGGCTCTGGCAGTTCATTTGGTGTCTTATCAGAAGTTTTCCTCAGACGACAATAACACGCGTCATGGTGGTTTAGGGTTTCAGGGGGTTAGGTTTTGCATCTGCTTGGTATATGCATTGAGCTCATGAATCATGCACGCCTGTATCTATACATATATGCCAAGTCAAGTCCATGGATGCATGGATGTGACAGTTTTTTAATAGTATATGGATGTGACGGTTTATTAATAGTATATAGTAGTCCCATCACACGTGCATGCGTACACATGTGAACATTGTATCCTTGAGTTAGTAGTGTCATGTGCTTGTATCTGTGGGATGGATGTGACAGTTTATTAATAGTATAAAGTAATCCCATCACACGTGCATGCGTACACATGTGAACATTATATCCTTGAGTTAGTAGTGGCATGTGCTTGTATCTGTGGGATGGATGTGACAGTTTATTAATAGTGTATAGTAGTCCCATCACACGTGCATGCGTACACATGTGAACATTGTATCCTTGAGTTAGTAGTGACATGTGCTTGTATCATCTGTCACATGCGCACGCACACGACCGTACCACTTTCGTCATGCCTATCACATACACATAAGAATGCATACGTACACGCACCAACAAAGCTCATAGGCGCCCGAGTTACACTCAGCACATACTGATTTGCTACCATTATACGTTTATGGTCCTCTCGCACTGCTACTACTATGCACGTTTTGGCACAGCTTGTGAGGCCAGATGCCACTCATGAGAACCTGGAGATTGTCCCAGAGGGACTGCAAATGCTCAAGCGAATCGAGAGCACGGTGGCGGTAATTGGGGTTGTTGGCTTCTATCATTCCGGTGTGTAATACCAATATATATGTATATTA